GGGCTCCTGGCATCGCTAGGGGCTCCTGGCCTTACTAGTAGTAACAAGGACGCTACTAGGAGCTCCGGGCCTTACTACTAGCAACAAGAAGCTGCAAGAAGCTACTCCTGGCCTTAAAATGGATATCTAAAGATACCCCGGCTTTGGAGTCTCTTTGGGTCACCTGTGTCGCTGTCGTGGCAGGACCTGTCCTTAACGCCGCCGCCCTTGTTGGAGACGGACAACTCACCGACCTCCCCACACGAACCCTCGCAAGGCGCGGACATTTTCGCAAACGTCTGATGGGAAGCGATGTCCTTTGCTCCTAGTTGCATCATTGCTCCTAGTACGGCACTTGTTACTACTAGCGTGGCACTTGTAACGAGTAGCTTCTTGTTCCTAGTAGGGATGCAGGAGCCCCTAGTATCGTCCTTGTAGTTCATCCATGGAAAGATCCGGTGCTAGCCACGACATGAACTGTTCAACTCGCCCGCCAGAACTGCGGGTCTACACACGGCAGGCCTCAGCCGAGGAGTGTGTCGAGACATGTTTTTAGCGGATCGCAGTACATGAACATGTGTATTAAATATGTGGGTGGCCTTTGATGGCTCAGTGCATGCGTTGTGTGACGTGCTCAATGTGATGGTGTTCATATTTTAAGCCTGTTCAAAGTTTGGGATTGGTTATATTCATGCTGACAGTTGAGATAAATTATATAGCACTTTGTCGCAGCATTATTTTCTTCCATACTCAAACGTTGCTGGTGTTCTAGGCCTTCAGCAATCCTTCAATGATCGGGGCGAAAGTTCGGGAAGTGCACTGATTCCATTAAGTACTTGAATTTACCTCCTTGCCCATCTAGTCGTTGTGGGGATGATCCTGGGTCACCGACTTTTCTCGGACTACTTTGCCACGAAATTCGGCCGTCCCTCAAAAAGGCAAGACATCCGTCACATTCCAGAATAATGGAAGATACAAAAACCGAGAGTAAACTAAAAATTAAACACATCATGAACACACATTGCAAGATATTGTCAGATGTAAACGGAAGACCATCAGATCCAACCCCGTCACCACCTAGGTGATTTCAGGCACTTAGTGCCAACTTGTCATCCCAAAGTGAAAGATTGCACATTTCAGGCACTGAAAGCCAATGAAGAAAACGAAGAAGGCCAATGAGAAAGCGAATAGAGTCGAGCCTTTGCAGGATGCGCCAGACTCTGCGGTCTCGGCTGACCCAAGGCGGACAGAGCTTGACAGATCATCCGTTTACATTCTTTTTTTTTCCTCTTTTTTAAGGAGGTGTGTTATATTTGTATATAGATACATATACATCTTAACATTGCTTTTTGTTTTTGGTGCGGGTAGGCTGCTAGTAGAGGTGAGGTAGGTTAGAAAGGGTGGGTGGCTAGTAGAAGCAAGGTCGGTAGCTAGTAGCTTGAGTAGCTACCACCTGCTGGACGCAGGATAGCTCACGCTTCTTCAATAAGCTCCCCCCGCCGCCCTAAAGGGAGCGGGGAGAGCCTCCAACTAATGATTTGGTTCTTAATTTTGTTTTTTGAACACTTAACTATATTAGACAATCTCACTTGCTTTTCAACAGCAGGAACAGAGGAAACGATCTCAAACGAGAAGGCCAACAGAACAACACAGTGTTTCAGAAGCTGATCACAAGAACAAGTACTTGCGTCACAAGTTAAGTTTCCCTAAAAATCTAGGAACCAAATGAATAGAAGCACGAGCTATCCTGCGTCCAGTTACTAGTAGCAGGCTACTTAGCTTTGTTACCTAGCCCTTACTTAATTTAGCCCATTTAGATACGTAAGCGACGCAAGGGCGGGCCTTCAGAAGGGGCAATGCAAAGAGCGAGTCAGTCAGTTGTAACAAGTGCCAGGAGCTCCTAGTAGCGTCCTTGTTACTACTAGTAAGGCACCTGTTACTAGAAGCGATGCACTTGTTACTAGTAGCTTCTTGTTCCTAGTAGTAAGGCCAGGAGCCCCTAGTAGCTTCTTGTTCCTAGTAGCGAACCTTGTTACTACTAGTAAGGCACCTGTTACTACTAGCGATGCACTTGTTACTAGTAGCTTCTTGTTCCTAGTAGTAAGGCCAGGAGCCCCTAGTAGCTTCTTGTTCCTAGTAGCGAACCTTGTTACTACTAGTAAGGCACCTGTTACTACTAGGAACAAGAAGCTACTCGTTACAAGTGCCACGCTAG